AAAGTCCTTGCAAGCTCTGGCAGGGAGGGGTCACTTGACCTGCAGCATCAGATACGCAGACAGAGACTTGGCCCAGAAAAGAACCCAAAATAGTGCAGAAAAACCAACCCAAACCAGTGGAGAACAACCCATGCTGCCGCATTTACTGTTAGGATTAGGAAAGACAGGAAACATGAGTAATGCGGGAGTTGGTGGCCTTTTTCTAATGACATATTAGTAAAAATAATATAAATAAATCCCCTCGCGTTTCCCGGTGCGGAATAGGGCTGTCAGCTCCGGCGTGGCGCCCTGGCACGTGGGACCCTGTTCCTGGGGGGGATTTTGTTGTTTCGCTCCGACCCTTCCGTTAAACGGGATCCACGCTCCGATGGTGCGGGACCAGTGACACCCAACGCTCCTCGCGGTAGGTTCTTTACCAGCATCTCCCATTCCATAAACTTTTTATGGCCCTGGATGCTCTTCAAAGCCACACTCACCTATGCAAAGCATGGAATGATTGCTCTTTCCCCCTCCCGTTCTCCAGCTCCTTCCAGAAGCTGGAAACCCGGAGGACCCGGCTGCGGCTGCATTGACATCCTTGCATCACGTCAGCAATTCCGGGCGCTCCGCGGCGCGCGCTGACAAGGCGAGCGAGGTTAAAACCCAGGTTAACAGCATGATTTGCAGCACCCGCTTAAATAAATGGTTGCAGGCACGGCAGACTAGCAGGCAGCTAATCCTTTAAAGACTTAAGAGCAGCTACTACTTCAGTCCAAGTAAATATTTCAAAATAAATCTAATTAGTGGTGACTGGCGGATTTTTTTTTCCCCCCCTTCGTTTTGCCAGCTCGGTCTAAAATGGTGATTCCCCATGGAATTTATGTTTTCTGTGCCAAAACTGCTCTTTTGCGGAGCAGAACAAGCCCTCTCGGGGAAGATTCATTGCAGTTTTGTTCCTTACCGTAACTGCAGCAGGGCTGTAAAAATTAGAGATGAATCTTGTCGGTGCTGCCAAGAGCTCCAAGAGGAGCCTCCGGGCTGCTCCGGAGACGGGGAGAAGCATCGGGATTCCAAATCCACCCCAATTCCCAGCCAAGACGGGAAGGGAACATTCCCCTGATTCCTACTGTGAATCAGCTCTGGCTACACAGTCCACAGAAAAAGACCTAATATTGGCCTGGAATGAAATCCCTGAATGAAAATCCATGAAAACACAGGGAGAAGGCCCCAGGGTAACGGGTGTCCAACCAGCACCTGCCAAAATCTGCGCCTGCAGAAGCAAAACACATCAGTGCAAGATCAATGCAATTATTTGGGAGCAGTCTTTTCTTATCTACAATTAAGCTTCTTTTCCCCCACCACAAGATGCATATAAATATATATATCTATTTCTTTTTACCTTGATCCTTGGCTCTGTGTCACAAGAAAATAATTCTCTAGGGAGGGAGGAATCTGCTAAGCTGAACTCTCTGGGCTATTTTTAGTTAAATCCAGCATTCCTAAAACTCTCCAGCTGCTTCCGTATTCCGCAAGGAGAGGGAAAAGGAGCCCCAGGGAACGTGCAGGTCCCCATGGCACGTGTTGAGCGCGAGACGGGGCCAGCACAACCCGCACAGCGACTCCCTCACACTGCCCGGGGCTGCGGCGCGAGGAAAAGGGACGGGAAAGGGGTGGGAAAAGGATGGGAAAGGGTCCTGGCCGGCAGTTTTTGCCAGCTGGAGAAGGGGGAACCGAGGACAGATGCTGCAGGTTGCGCTGCTGCTTCCAAAATTCGCTTTATGGCTGCATTTAAAGCACACGGGGCACAGCCAGGACACGCGAGTTGTCGCATTCCCCCTCCTCTCTGCAGATGTTTCTCAGTTTATTCTAAAATATTTTCCTTTTCCAAGGCAAAGCAGCAGTGAGCAGAGCCCTTTGGGGCATGATACTGATTTTCACATCCTCCTTTTCATGCCTGTATCTCCCCAGGGCCTCCTCTGTCTCCCTGTTTCCTTGTTTTCTCTCCCCAATTTCATGACCAAGCGCTTGCCCGAACGTTGCTGTGCGGTGATGATGCTCTGCAAGTTTCATTAGCTTTATCCACTTAAAATATATATATATATATATATATATATATATATATATATATATATATATATATATATATATTTTCAGGGGGATTGCTCTGAGGCTGCTGCTAACTCAGCCTTCGAAAGCCCCGGGAATTCTGTTTCCCAGTGTGTCTCTGGCAACACCATGGCATGGAATAAGGCCATAACCATCTAAATGCAGCACCCACAGAGCAGCAATGGGAGGACAGCGCTGGGGACCTCAATCCAGGCACTAACAGGCTAGAGAAAAGCCTGAAACTTGGGCACTTGCTGCTGCTCCAAGGCTGCTGTGCAGAGCAACACCCCGGCGAGCTATAAAAATGCCAACTATTTTTTCCTCCGCAGCAGCTGCCTCGCCAAGAATTCAAAAAGGAATAAAAAAGGCAGTGAAATTCTGCACTCTTCCAAAATACCTGCAAACTTCAGCTATTTTGGAAGAAAAACAATGAACGTCGGGTACTACATACACTGCTGGACAGCCGGAACAGAAGACTTAAACCCTGGGGAAAACCACGCGTGAAATAAATGAACTTCCAAGGGATAAAGCAGCCTGGATCTAAGGTTTCCACTGCTGGAGTGGAAACCTTAGAAATGATTCCCCCCCTAGAAATGGGTGTTTTTCCCCTCTAAAGGAGGCATAAAATATCCCTGTGCAAAGGAAGCCGTCGCCATCCCGGCCAGGGCTCAAGGGCTGGGTTATTTACACTGACTTTGGTGCTGGCCCTTTGAGCAAAAATCAAATTTGTCCTTGCACGAGGGCTGCGCAGCCGCCCCAGCCTCCCTGCATCCCGCGTTCCCCCTTTGCCTCATCCTTTCCCTCCCCTTTCGCTTTTCCCGGCCCCCATTCCCCCCAGGGGGATGGATCCAAGTCGTGACCCCTCGGAGAGGCTGATTCATGGATCTGCGTCAGCTCTCCCGGCCAGAGCGGCTCTAATTGCCGGGTTGCAGCCGCCGCCGGATGGCACCGGGCTCTTCCGCAGGGAATAAACGCAAGGACGGGGGGAAAAGGGGGAGAGGAGAGCCCTGCCGCTGGGAATGGGCAGCAGCATCAGGATTTTAGGGCTTTCCAGAGGCAGCTTCCCGCTGCCGGAGCCCTCCCTGCTCATGGAAACGCCTCCGAGGTCGGGTATCGGGTCTGAAAACCCTCCTCAGCCCTTGCTGCTACCTCGGAGCGTGCAAATCGGGGGCAGAATAGAGTGAAGTTTATTCATCTTAAATACATTTAAGTGAGCTTTGCGGTGCTGCTTCGTGCCGGGCACTTGCTCTCACCGTTTGCACTGCAGGAGCTTTCGCATCCAGCACCAATAATATCATATTATTGAAGCTAGCAAAACAATACAAAGTGGATTTGTTCAGTACATAGATTTTTTCCAGGGAATTATGCCCAGCATATTGTCTACAGGAGGAAAAAATGATCCCAAATATACATACAGGCAGCTGCAAGTCAAGGGTCCCCCATATCCTCACCTGTGAAAAACAAGACTTTGGTATTCAGACACTTGAACCTGATTCTGGATTCCGATTCTCCCCCCTCTATGTCTATTCAGCTTAAAACAATAAAGAAAAACCCAACAACGGTCCCTTCAGAGGATGCCAGTTGGGTTTTGCCAAAACCAAAGTGGCAGAGGAAAACGCTTCCTTGAGGAATGTGCTTGCTGAGTAAATGCTAACAAATTCTAGCAAAAGGAGTCGCAAACGTGAGTTACTTCATGCAAGTGCAGTTTTCCCTCTTTTGTGCATTTATCTTCCATTATTCCGGTTGCAAATACAAGACAAGGAGTACCCTGAAATGTTTCTGTCAGAGAGCAAAAAAAAAAAAATATGGTTATGCTGTTTGTTTGCAAGAATAAACCCGAGGAGAGCCGTCATCTCTTTGGAAAGTATGATAAACTCTAGAAAATAGTTAGAAAAACAACTACTTCTGTTGCTGAAATTGTCTGGCTCATCTATTTTTGGAAAAGGGCTGGAATTACCTTGCCAAAGCAGAACTTACTGCAAACAACCAGCATGACATAACCCAAAGAGGAAAAATGGTTAAGTCACATGTTCTCCCCACATAATGTTGCAATCCCTTTGGTCAATCCCATGTTTAAAACTCCCCCTAAAAAGAGAATCTGGCAACACCTCAAGGCAGTATTTACAAAACCGGGAAGCTGCGTCTTGGGATCTATTTGCTTCATTTACAGCCTCACGCGCTTCCCTTTGCTCGGGGTGACTAAAGCTCCTCTCGCCGGCCGAATCCGGGTGCTCTGGAGCGCGGTTCAGTCGTCGAAATCCGGGATGTCGTCGTAGGAATAGCCCCGGTAGCCCTTGGAAGCGTAGTAGGCGATCCGCAGGTGGTAGAAGCCGGGGAGGAACACGAGGATGCCGATGATGAGCACGGGGATGGCGCGGTCCGTTCCCTGGAGCAGAGGGATGAGATGGGAGCAACACTTAGGTGCCGGAATATCGGGTCAGTTCCAGCGGGAATGCGGGTCCCTGCAGCAGAGCAGGGCCAAAGGCCAGCACAGACCCACTCCCTTCCCTGAGGATTTGATGCCAGCGCAGAAAAACGAGGAAAACGGTGCTGTGTTCCGTAGCTGTCCTGTCTCCGAGGGAAAGGTCTTCCCTTGGAGAGCAAGGAGCGAAGGATGGAGCTGGAAACCAGAGCGCTGGAAAATCCCATCTCAGGCAGGACGCGCTCAGCGCTGCCCTGCAAACCTCAACCTCCGCCTCCAGCACGGGGCTCCGCATGGAAAACCATTCCTAAGGGAAGCGCGGTCAAACTCACCCCTTTGCTGATGTACCCCGCCAGGAGGAGGGCTCCGATGATGATGAGGAAGGTCCCAATCATGAAGAGCACAACGGCCAGCGCGATGGCCTTGTAGGGGATTTTTGGTGGGCTCTTCTTGAACTGTACGGAGACAAATATTAAAGAATCAGCACGTTTCCCCTGGCCATAACACAGCTGGGAATCCCATCGCCAGCGAGGCTCAGGGCACTGCTGTTTTTCCGCAGCCAGGCTCTAGGAGAAGGGAATTTTTTCCCCCTCTTTACCTGCAGGTCAATGTATCCGTCATCGGTGCTGGCGAGCTTGGAATACTTGACTTTGCTGCTGGGAATCCCAGCGGTCAGGTTGGTGCGTGACGGCATCATAACAGGGAAGCCCGGGCATCAGCTAGAACCTGGAAAACAAAGGGAAGAGCCGTAAAATCAGAGCAAACCAGACAGAATCCGGGACACATGGATCAAGTTCATTAGGAGAGACACAGCCTGTGCTAAGCAAAGGAATCACCTTTTTAACAGTTGCATCTTTTCCAAGAAAGCTGTGTATGGAAAAGCCTAAAATACAGAGCTGCAACTGCAAGGGAAGGGGCAGGGCTTGGCAATATGTGAAAGAAAATCGGATTGAGGTTGGACATGCATTTAAATGCACAGATGTGCATTTATATCCCGCTACACCTAAACAGGGAGACTAACAAATAAACCGCGAGCCGAAGGGCACAGAGCAGCCTTTCAAGCAGCAGGATGTTTTGCAATAGGTCCGTTTTGAGGAGAGAAAAAAAAAACAGAGCCAAAAAGAAACCACTGGAAACCAGCCTGGACGGGCTTGTTTTGGGGAGGAAAAATAATATATTCACACGCTAAAAAAGCAAAACGGTGGGAATGAGAATCCCTAACATCGCTGCCGGGATGGATGTGCTCTCTCTGCAGCGTTACCTGATCCCCAGGGTTAGATCCCAAAATCCTGCTGCCTTTTCCTGCCGTAATCCTCCCCCCTGCAGATTAGACTCGTGCAGACCCCCAACATCCTCTCCACAAAAACGAGGCCGTTGCCCTTCACCCTCTCAAAAAGTGAGGGTCGAGGTTTTAATTCCCAGCAGTTAAACCCAGGGAATCCCGGGAATTATTTGCAGTTTATGTGAGTGTAAAAGCACATTCCTGCCCTGCGCCTTACCCTGCTAATCAACAGAAAAGTAGGACAAAACCACAAAAAAACACTCAGAACCGCAGGGTTAAGGGACAAATGTATACAAATGCACCGAGCTGAACAGAGCTCTGCAGCCAGGGAGCCGAACGCACCTCGGTGCTCGTTAAAAAGCAAATAAACACGGAGGGACCTTGGTGCCTCCATGCATCCCAACGGGATGGCGGGAGGCTGCTCGGGCTACGCTGGCTTTAGGTGCAGTAAATACCCGCATCGCCGGCAAAAACGCCTCCGGAAGGGAGCACGGAACGCTACGCACGAACGATAAACCCCTGTTTTTCCCCCAAAAAGCAGCATTTTGAGCGCGCGCCCCCCCGCTCTGCCCCGCGGCCTTCCGGGAGCTCCGGCCTCGCTCCTGACCCCGCGGATGGAGCACGGCCTCCCTGCGGAGCGGGAGCATCCCGGCGCGTCCGGGCGCTCCCGCGGGATCGGCGCGGGGTACCGACCCGGGGTACCGACCCAGGGTACCGACCCGGGGTACCGACCCGCTCCGCGCGCGGCCCATCGCTTCCCGGCGCTCTCCTTCCGCGCAGGCCAACCCAGGAAGTTTATTCCCGCCGCCGCGTTTCCTTCCAGGTTAGGGCCCCGCGGGCTGCTCCGGGCCCTCCCTGCGCGCTGAAATCCCTGCGTTTGGGATCAAACCATGGAGCTCAGCCCCGGAATGGGGCTGGATGCGTCGCACAAGCTCCCGACATTGGAGCAGCTGCTCCAAGCCCCCAAACTCTACAAAACCAGCCCTTAAATGGATAAAACAGGCTCCGAGTTTTACCGAATGCCTGAGAGCCCCATCCCCTTACACGGGAATTATTTCTCCCCTTTTTCTATTTAACCTTGGTTATTAACAAAAAAGGATCAACCTCAAAACCTGCCTCAAACAGGATAAAAAAAAACAACATAGTATTTTTTTTTCCACAGTATCTGGGCATGCAGTGTTGGCCAAAAAGCAGTTAATGCATTTGTGAAACACGGGCAGCTGGATACTTACGGCATCAATGTAGCTCCTATTACTATTATTATTATTATTTGAAGCTCCCAAAGGGGGGTGTTGCAATTTTAAGGAATTAGCAGTTTAACCAATGGTCTTATTACGGTCTCTCTTAGTGGGTAGATGGCACAATAGGAGCCCAGTAACTTCCAAAACAGCAGATCACACCAAAAAGGATTTCAGCTTCAGTTCCTAGCCCAGTTTCGCTTATGGCACTGACACGTCCTTAAAGAAAAATCATTTTCTCAATAATGTAGTATTATAAATTCAATTTTTGCCTTAAGAACTTACCTCATCATTCTATAACCTGGGGCAGCTGAGTTGGGTCTGGCTGTCTCAATCTGTTTTTCTTGACACCAAATTCCTCACCAGCTTCATGGAGTTCAAGAGGATAAATCCAGTACCCACTAGAGTCACAGACCTTTGAAGCTCATGTCAGAAGTTGCAACTACTATTTTTTTCCCCAAGAAATCTAAAAGCTTCCTAAAAAAAGACTTATTTGCTACTAAATTAAGAATAAAGGACAGGGGGCAGGCACACCCCCTCAAGCCACAGGCAGTTGAAGCTCGTGTCAGAAGTTGCAACTATTTTTTTCCCCAAGAAAAGAGAAATCTAACAGCTTTCTAAAGAAGAGTTATTTGCTACTAAATTAAGAATAAAGGACAGGGGGCAGGCAGAAACCCAGGGTGCCAGCTGCATCATTCCTGCCTTACGCCAGCCCAGCAGTGCCACCTTGTGAAACCTTCCTGCTAAACCACCCAGGAGCTGCGTTACACAACCAAGGGCTTCTAGAGCCAGTTTTAGGCCCAAGTTGTTTTTTTCTAAGCCTTGTATTTGCCTATTTCACTAACAACACCCTGGAACAGGATTTGCAACACCCTCTATCAGGAGGGCATCCCTGCAGGCTGCCCTGCAGGCATCAACAGAAGGCACCGAACACACACAACATGCAGGGACTTGCCCTAAACCCATACTGGAAAACCTAAGTTATAGTTTTATATATTTATAGAAATATTCTTTTATAGTATAAACATAGATTTATAGACTTTACATTATATTTTAGATCTAAACTATAAACAGGCACAGCTGAAAACCAAGGATTTATACAACCTCCTGGTCAGCGCAAGCTGCTTTTCATTGTAACAGTCCAGCTCTATATTCCTTAATTTTAAGTCTGGAGCACGATGACAGGTACAAGGAACTGTCCCTGGGGGTCAGCTCTTGCATTTAGTGAAGAGCTGTTGCAAAGCTGATGCATTTAAACATGCACAAACCCCACCTGCCCAGAGCAGCCTCAGCCAGGTGTTATTTATTCAGCTTCAACCCTCCGGGCCAGGGTTAACCCAGAACTAGGGCCATCCCTGCCTGCCACTTACAGCCATTGGTGCCACGTGGGGACTCTGGAGCAGCTAAAGCAGATTTTTTTCCCATTCCAGGCACTTTCTAGAAGAGGAGCAAAGGTACCATCGGTCTGACTACAAAAACAACAAACACCCTCCACACCCAAGACTTTAGTCCACCCAAACTTCAGCAGGGTAAAAAACTCCAAACCAGGTTCTTTATTTCCATTTTCCAAAATACCGCTCTGAAAACAAACACAAAGGTAGAACAAACTCCTGGCATCATTAAACAGAAGCCTGAAGGAACTGCAGTTGACAGGTAAAACTAGAAGGTCATCTTTACCCATGTTAAATATTGCACTCCTCCTCTACAAATCCAAAGGAGTACAGCATTCCACCTAAGGACAGCATACAAGGCTACTGGAGGTACAGGAATAGATTAGAACAGCAAAAATTCCTATTTCAAATGACACCAGTATAGCAAAATAGTAAGCTGAAAAATATTTACAGAGATATCTACAAAACATGCCTAACAGTGCTCATTTGATGGCCCCATGCACTGACACTGCTAATAAACTGCATGGATGCAACTTTCTTCTCCAAGCCAGTTGTCTTCCCCAAAGAGCTGAGATTTCCTCAGTCCTAGTCCATTTAAGAGCCTTCTTGCTGATCTTCAATCTTTGGAGCCAGATAGTATTTTAAGTGTCCCATATCGGCAATCTTGTACTCCACAACTGGAAAAAAAACACAACATTGAGAATATTATTCAGAAAAACACCCAGGCAAGATCTCTTGAGATGCCCTAAGGTGAGAACAGGGCTGTTTACTCACCAAGGGGAACATCTGCAGACATGCTGAGTGTTACTGTAGGTGACAGGGGAGTTGCTTTGGTAAAGAAGTTCAGGTACCTCAAAGCAAAGGTTAATTGGACAGGCTCATTCATCTCTATTGTCACCTAGGAGAACATTTACCAGGTTAGAGTCTAATAAACCCAAACCACGTCCTCAAAGAACACACCATTAGGAGAAACCTAAGCGAGAACAAGAGCCAAGCGTTAACACAACTTACAGCTTCCTCCTCTTTATCCACGTCGCTGGTCTGGGACAACTTGATGTTGCCATTGCCAAGCTCTCCGTTAGCCGAGAACTTGACGCCGTCCTTGGCGCAGGAGATGACGACGGCGTCGCCGATGTGGCTGAGGTCCCGGCAGATGCGGGCGAACTCGGCAGAAGGCATCTTCACCACGCAGCTGTACTCCTGCTCCTGCAAGGGAAGGGGCGCTTAAACTTCTCCAGGAAGCTGGATGCAGCCACTAGACTTTGTGTTCCTTTAAAAGATATTTCTCCATTGTCTTTATGAGCAAAAACGTTAGGCCTGATGCAAACACAGGGAATATTTTGCTTTCAAGAAGAATATTATAATCCAGGGAGAAATTCAAGTTGCTACTTACTGGAATTCCAAGCTGCTCCACATCCAGATCCATTAGCTTCATCTCATAATCAGAGACTTTCTCTTGATCTAAAAGAAACACTTTGTCAGCCTAAACTTTTCTTAAAAAAAAAACAATTAAAGACATTATCCTCAATTTAAGTTTTGCCCATAAAAGCACTGCAGTTAAGACAAGAGGATCTGTTGGGGTCATGGAAAGACTTTTCATTTTCCCCTCTCCCCCCATGGAGATGTTGGTCAACTGGACTAAGTGTACCCTGGTCCCACCACCCGGAACGCCACCGATGCCCCCAGGAAGGTCACCCAAAAGGTCTCAGTGAGGGGCTGGCTATGTCACTTACTTGGCGCTTCAAACACCAAAGCCAGTGTATCCGCGTTGTCCTCGGCTCTCAGAGTGATGATGTCTTCGTTTCCAGCACACTTGAGGATTTTGGACATGCTGGGGGAACAACAGCAGGGTCAGCCGGTGGGTGAGGGGGACAACAGCGCTCGTTGCTGTTTCACGGGTATTAAACCACGTCCAGAGAGCGGCGGCTGCTCCGTTTGCGGCTGCATCGCGGCTGCTCCGGCCCGAAA